ATTCACACTTCTTTAGATTGACATATAACTTTGCCTTATGGGGAATATCTAAAATCTGTATTAAGTGAGGCATGTTCTTCCCAACTTCATCAAAATACACCACAATGAACTTTCGTAGGAACAGATGCAAAACTTGTGTCATTATCCTCATAAAGGTGCTAGGTGTTCCGGACAACCAGAAGCCCATAACTAGCATTCAAACAACCCGTTCATAGTCTTGAAAGCGGTCTTTCACTCATCACTGTCACGAATACATATCTGATGGTACCCACTCCTAAGATCATTCTAGAAAATACACTAGATCCTGCCATGACATCTAATAGGTCATATAGCCTAGGAATATGAAACATATACTTAAGGGTGATCTTATTAATCACTCGACTATCCGCACACACATACACCAACTACCATCTTTTTTAGGGGTAAGCAAAGCAGGAACAACACAAGGACTCAAGCTATCCTTAAAAAAACCCTTTTCACAATAATTCGTCTACTTGGCAGCATACTCGACATTGTTTAGTAGGGTTCATCCTATAGTGCGACAAATTAGATAAGGTGGCCCATGACACTAGATCTAGAATGTGTTGGATGTCTTGCATTAGAGGTTACTCATCAGGAAGTTCATGGGGCATAATATCCTTATAATCGAAAAGGATTTGATGAACATTGGGAAGGTGCTTTGGTGGTTCACTAATAATTCTCTCCCTAATAACCACTATCTTATACATAAAACCTTATGGAGTACTCTCCCTAATGAATTCCTTTTGTGTTAAAATATGAACATATTTGTTTTGCTAACTTTCCCTAGGCAGGGTGCTACCTTTAATGTCCTTAGGCTCTTTTGGCTTTGTTAGATTCAAGACTATCTTTTTACCATTGAAAGTTAACTTTCTGAAATCGTCCTAATAGAACATGGGCAACATCCATAGGGAGGACGTTACACCAAATGTGATCTGATTAGCTAGACAACTGAATAGAAACTAAACATCTCTGGGATACAGGTACGAAAATTTTTCAAAACCGACTGAATTTTTTTTTTTCAAAACCGACTGTTTTTTATTTATTTATCAAAATCGACCCGGTTTTGTGATTAGCAGGCTAATCACTATCCTAAATAGTCGGGGTTGGCAACCCCGACTATTTAGGATAGTGATTAACCTGCTAATCACCCTTTAATTAGGGTTTAACACCCTCCTAAATAGTCGGGGTTGCCAACCCCGACTATTTAGGATAGTGATTAGCAGCCTAATCACAAAACCGGGTCGATTTTGATAAATAAAAAAAAAACAGTCGGTTTTGAAAAAAAAAAAAAAATCAGTCCGTTTTGAAAAATTGTTCATACAGGTATAGTGGTTCTGTCTAACACTATTGGGCTGCAGTTGTGGTTAAGGCTTAAGGTTCATGTGTTCAAGTACCGAATTGGCTATTACATTGACACAACTACCTCCCTCTATTACAAGCTTATATATTTTTCATTAACGTTAAAGTACGTGTAAAATATAGAATTCAAACGCCAATCATCTTCATTTCGTGTTGCTGCTAACATACACCTCATAACACCTTAAAAAGTGGTTAATAACTCCTCAGCATTGCTAGCCCTATTCTTAAGCTCGTAAATGTCTCCTTCCTCATCTTCGTCGTTTTCTTCGGCTTCTTGGCTACCTAATCCTTATTGTAAATTATGACTAGGCATTGGTATGCATAGTGTCCTATACCCCACAATTACAATATCGTTTGTGTTTCTCATTTTCTTTGTGGAGCTACATATAGTGTGGCCTTTCCCTTTTGATATGTAGACGTATTATTATTATCACTTTTTACTTATTGTCTATTTATTTCTTAGACGACTCTCCTATTGTGGTAGAGAACTTCATAGTGTTAGGTGTCTTGAGATATTGCTTGAAATCTTGAGCAACTTGATAGACATGTTATAACGAGGTTATTGTGTGGGGAATCGTTTTTCTCTTGATGATTGACCTAAGATCTGTATGAAACCTAGACAAAGTAATGCTAGGGTCAACCTCGACGTCACAACAAACCATTAGTTCGTCAAATTTGCTCATATACTCTTAGACAATAGACTAACTTGTCGTAAGGTGTTTAATTGATCAAACAATTGGGTCCTATAGGGAAAAGGTAAATATTTTTTTAAAATTTTTCTTTCATCTCATCCTAAAATTTTATAGGTGGACATCCTAACCACTCAAGCTGTCTTTCAACCAAGGTTAAGTAATTTTTCCTAGACCAGACAACTTCATCTTCACGAATCTAACCTGCAATCGTCGGAGATGTCATACCAATCAAAGTAGTAATCCATGTATGTCATCGAATTACTATAATCCTAGGGATCGTGTCTTCCGTTATAGGAAGGAGCTTCCACCTTAATCTACTTTGTTATATCATCGGGCACATTCCTATCCTCTTGGCCTTCATCGAATTCCTTCTAAGAGGAGGAAGACAAAGTCTATTATTTGGATTTCATGCTCTAGGTGTATCCCTGGGATGTTCATCTCTATCTTGTTAGTCACCCTCTAACCGATCAACATCAAGCTTAGTGACTCGTGTATTAAAATCTTATACAGTTTTCAGGATTTTATTTGGAGTTACATTTATATTCGGTTCAGCCATATAGATTGTATCGCTACGTAATTGCACATAATTAGCAACCTATAATAGAAAAGAATCGAAGAAAGAAAAAAATAATAAACCAAACTACAAAAAATTTTCTTTTTTTAATTTTTATTTTTATAGTCTAAACTAGAAATAAAATGTCAGCAAATTCACCTCAAACAAGTCAACTAGAACCTTTTCTTTAATAAATTGAAATAACTAGCATTTTTTTAAACTGAAGCAACTAAAACCTTTTCTTTACTAAACAAAAGCTAACCTACATCTTAGGTTGAGGTGGTGGAAGAGCCCTAGCTGCATCTAAGATTTTGACACAGTTTGTGGAAACACGAGTTACTACAAATAGACAGGTGGTAATAATTAGGATTCACATCATTAATATGACACTCCTCGCAGTTAATGATGATTTTTTTGGTTGCTAATTTTAAACCAAGGCTCAGATACCAACCTAACGTAGCACAATTTATCAGAGTCTAGCAAAGTAATTAAACGAGACTAAAGTGCAAAGTAAATGCAAACCTAACACTAAAAATGCAGCGAAAAATAACTTTAAATATTGAAATATTATAAACTAACAATTGATAGTAAAAAACGATGCAAAACGACAGGAACTAAAGAGCATGTTCATGATAAACCTAAGGCGTGGGAAGTCCGAGCAAAGTCCCCCGACCCCTTTCGAGCAAACAACGTTTGTATAGAAGTCCTATGACCGAATTCTGCAAAAGAGTTCATACATGCTTAGTTCCATATAAGAGCAAAGATCTAACATTCTGATCAATCACTAAACCAATAAATGAAAGCAAAACAATTAATTTCGGGCTGAAGTCTGAAACTATATTGGATCTGGAAGTTGATCTTGAGGCGGCAAGGTCGAAGGGTGGGTGGCAAGTTGGTTCAGTCGTGTCCAGGGGATGATAGCAGTGTTGAGGACTTGTGGTAGAGGGCTGGTGGTTGTCGATGGCGAGCGAGCAAAGCAGAGAGGAGGATTGGATCTGCTTGTGAAAATAGGGGAGTCTGAGGGGAGTTCCGAGGCTTCTGAGATGAGGGAATGTCCTGGCAATAATGGGGATCAAATGTGGGGAGGCTGAGGCATTATGAAAAGGCTGAAATTTTGAGAGAATAGAAAGAAACCAAGAAAAGGTGGAATCACTCCGAATATCAAAACGTGAACTCAAGTTTATTTTCAATCTTCTCCGCCAATTACAAAAAGAGTTTTATCTCTTATAGAGATAGGATAAACAAACTGGATCTTATCTAAATGATTAAATCTCATCTAAGTACTATCCGATTTAAACTACCTTATCATCTAAAAGAGATAAAATGTGAAAACAAACATAATCCTATCCTAACAAGGGATCTGAAAATAAATAAATTCTGAGAACAACGCAATTCTCTCCTAACAAGAAATATGAAAATATCTCTTATAATTTATCTGCGATGCTAAGTTCCCTTAGAGTAGAACCGTATATTGTGATCCCTATCAAGATCATATCCCCCAATCCCCCCCCCTCTCTTTGTTTGTGTTTGTGCGCATACGTGCTATTAAAATTCCATTCACAATGCCAAAACTCTGAATTATAGTGAGGGTTGAGAGTGTAAGTTTATATTGTAACCTGCCCTCCTCAAATTGAGTGCCCGACTACCTGCCTTATGGCCCGAAACTTGCACTTACACATTGATATCTTTTTATGTTAAAAAATTTCGCTATGAATATGTTGTTGGTGGGTTTGAACCTGGGTTTGCTCTGGTTTGAAATAGGTTTGCTTTGATGTCATATTAAAATTCCTTCCACTGCACTAGAACTCTAAAGTTCCACTACACTAGAACTTTTAAGTTGCGGTAAGGATCGAGAGCTATAATTTTATATTCTAACACGTAAGTTGGTGGTTCTCTTAGTGCCTGCATGAATATATGTGAGTATGCATGTACGCATGGGCATGTAGGGATGTACGCATGTGCGTGCGCGTGAGCGCGTGCTCATACATATGCATGTCTGCCCATATTTGCATGTGTGATTGTGTATCCGTGCGGATAGGTGGGGAAGTGGTGGGTTTGAGGTGGGTTGGTTAGGTAACAAATAAAATGTTTCAACCAAAGAATATAGGAAGCCTAACCTATGACGTGGCACGCAAAGATCAATTTACTTTTAGAGTAACAACGGGTACACTGAAGAGAAATGCACTTTTTTTGCAAAGGAAATACATGTAAATGTTGTAGTAGATGCATCTTTAGATTTAGATCTTTGCGGTTATGAATTCACATAAATAGCATATTCAAAATATTTTTTGGCATTAACTGAAGTACTGTTGTTATCATATTTATGTACACAATAAACTTTTCTAGCATAATAACCAAGTCTGCAATCCAACCAGTGATACAAGGAATTTATTCTCGAACTGATAAATTTGATCAGAGCTTGTTTCCCATCCTTGGTGTTGAAGATGTGGTAACACAGCTTACGCCACCCGCACCTATTCTTTGGTTGAATATACAGGTAATAATAAACCTGCTTAAACTAATGTTGTGGTATGTTATTTTCTCTGTCCGCCAAAATTCTATTTCTGTTACTTCTCAACTAAGATTTACAGTCCTTATATCATGCAGCATGATATATTCTACAGTCAACATAACTTAAGCATGAGAAACTTCGTGCTTTCTGTATCAAAGCGTGTAGTTGTGAGCTATCTCTCATCACCTGAAGTGGCTTTCCTTAGTGGTATATCACCGAGATTCAAAAAGAGCAATACAAAGCTTGTGTTTCGCTTCCTTGACGAAGATGTTATAGAACCATCTACCAACCAAACATATGGCTCATTGCTTAAAAATCTTACCTTCATCGAGACCTTTGCCTCAGGAATTCTTGTTCCCAAGCATTACATTTGGCCTGTGACATCTGACAATTACTTACAACCCTACACCTCCATTGTCATGGATGCACACAAAGCTGGGCTGGAGATTTTCGCAGGAGACTTTGCAAATGATGCGGTTTTGAGCTACAATTATAGCTACAGCCCATTAGCTGAACAGCTTTCCTTCATTGATAATGGTGCTTTCTCTGTTGATGGTGTGGTCACAGACTTCCCAATTACTCCATCTGAAGCCATAGGTGATGTTCTTCTGTCTTGTACAGTAAGGTGGTTTATATTAATCAAGCTGATGATTATTTTACTGATAAAGTTATTGATATGAAATTCCATTGTTAGACCAATACTGAAATATCTTTTTTTCATTGCATTTTTCATTCATAACCTCTAATGCATTTGTTATGTTGTGCTTTCTACATATATAACTTTTTTTTACCATTGATGAGGTGGTGTTTTACCTGTTTATAAGTATTATTGTCATTGCGTTATGTTTTTTAACATTATGGTGTTAGTATAATGCATTGGCTATTTGGCATGCTATTATTACAATCAATCTATATGATACTAAGCAATGAAACGAATGGATGCTGATTAGGTTTGCCAAAATTTTAACGTAGTGGAACCCAAAGCAATAATGTTTTCTTATCTTGTCCTCTAGTTACACAGTAATAAGAAAATTGATGATCTTTCTTTTTACTTCTCTTCCTCACCTCTCTCCGTTTCTCAGTAGTTAATGGATTAACATACATTGTGTTTGAGTTATTTGCACGTATAAAAAACACATTTTTTATTACCTTTTTCAAAAGAAAGAGAGATGATTATAAATTAAGATTGTTTGCATAGTTAGATCAACTGTCAACAGTGTGTATGAGATAGCCAGATTTTTTTTCCTTTTCAAAAATAAATAGTTTTGACGTCACTGCCATTATATCAAAACTCCAAGTTGGGAGGTTTGAGGGTACAGTTTTATACTTTAGCACTTTTCTAGGGGTTGAATGGCTTTTCTTTGTGGGACACCTGGGGTTATTTTGTAACCTTCTTTCAGCAGGCAACCAGCTGGATCTGCAGTTTGGTTACTATACCAATTCTTAAACTCTCAGTCACTGCATGAAAATTGATGTAGCCTTTCGGGGAGATCAAGTAACATATTTTTATATTTAAACAAGTAGATTCACCTGAAACATTGTGATTACTAGACACAAAATGGCTGATATCCTGAACCAGTTTATACCACAGTCCCAGCACCATTAGTTTTTTAATATTTGTTTCAGAGAAGAAACACTTTTTCCATCTCTTATTTCATGGTAGAAAAGTATTTGTATTCAAGTATGTATGTATTAATCCAGAGAATTCATAATTTCAGTTGTGGGAATATGCCCCATAATATGATATACCTGTATGTGCATACACGTGTCCAATTAGTAGTTCTTAAAAATTCACGCTATTTTCATGATCACTAAGAGAGATTATATTGATCCCACTGTGTTAAAAAAAGTAAGAAACATTGTTTCCTGTTTCACTGAAAAAGATCTAAAAAAACCTAGTCGACATTTCTACAGTTGATGATTTTAATTGTTAGCAACTCAATGAATTTTCTTGTCTTCCAATTGCAGAATGGTTGAGGAGTTGTATCCATTGCTTCATCTTCTATTTAGTGAATTACCAATCTCACAATGAATGATCTATGATTGAAAAAAATTCCTTTCTTACATCTTAAGTCTCAAACCAAAGATTGAAAAACTTGGAACATTATCTTCCTTTTAAGTGATGTGTTGTACTCAAGATATTTGCATACTGATTTGTGCTGATTGCAGGTTGCTTTTCTCATATAAACAAAAGTACAACTGATCATGGTACACTGTCTTTTCTTCTTCCATTGTTCGACTTACCTGAGTTTCTGTCCCATATACGTAGTAGTTAATTTGTCCTAGTTTCCTTTCCTTTTTCTTTTTTTTGTTTGGGTGCAATTCAGGAAAGCCTATAATTGTTTCGCACTATGGAGCTAGTGGAGATTACCCAGACTGTACTAATCTGGCTTATGAGAAAGCAGTTGAAGATGGTGCAGATATTATTGATTGCCCTGTTCAAGTGACTAGTGATAGAGTTCCCATATGCATGAGCTCTATAAATCTTATGGATGATACTACTGTTTTGAACTCACCCTTCAGCTCTCCTAGTTCTCAGATCCTAGATATTCAAAGTTCTCCTGGAATTTTTACCTTCAATCTCACATGGGATGAGATTAAGCAGAACTTGAAGCGTAAGTTTATATATGTACATCCTCCTTGCATTGTATCTTCCGGTTGTCTTCGAAAGTTAATAAGGATCTTAGTGATCCAATAATATGCTCCTTTCATAGGTTTTTCGGCTTCCACTAAACCTGCCATTTTCCTTGAGCATATAGGAGACTATTCCGATTTCTATACTGAAAAAGGAACTTAGTCTATTTTAATGATCCTGAAAGAAGAAGCTTAATCTTATGTACTTTTTCTTATCAAATGCAGCTCAAATATCAAGCCCAGAGAGCAGTTACATGTTGGTGCGAAACCCACGCTACAAGAATGCGGGAAGTTTTATGACCTTGTCGGACTTTTTGAAATTTGCAAAAGACAAAGCTCTTTCTGGAGTATTGATCAGTATAGAGGTGTGTGATTGTTGATTTGGACTCAACTGACCACAAGCTCTAACCTAGTTGTTCAAATTTTTATTAGAATACATTATCTATAGTTACAATACCTTTTCAACAACCGCCCCCCCTCCCCGCTTCCATTGCTAAAAAAAAGTTCAAAACCCCACAAAGGAGGAAAAAAACAAAAAAGAAAATAAAAGGATAGAATGAAAAACTAAAAAGAACAAGAGACATGAAACATATAGAACTGCCACTAAATCCGTCTACTTACTCTATACCAATGAATGAGGGTGGAAAGTAGCAAGAAATGATAATTAATAGAGATCTAGATGACTCTGGGAAGAGGAAATTGTAAGTATTGTATGCTAACTGAAAGTGTGGTCGCAAACAAATAAACTTAAAGTAGAAAATGTCTATAAAAAATTTGTTGAAGGGCTGACTGTCGTGTGAAGCATCAAATATCATCCAAGCCTGCATGTTCAAGATTAAATGATTGAAAATCAAGATTCTACTCCCAAGTGTGCTACATGGTTAAGTGCAGCTCTTAATTACAAGATATAAATTTAGATATAATTTGTTAGCTAAAGACAAAACTATGTTATCGAATATTATAAATGGTTACTCAAAATAAATTCAAATTGAAGATTCTACCAAGTGTGACTTTGTGTTTAATTTCAGCTCCTACTTGCATGATATAAATTTAGATATAATTTGTTATTTGAAGACCAAAACATGTTATCTAATGTTGTAAATGGTTTCTCAAATTATCTGAGAGCATGCTTGGCAACTTTGGATTATAATCTACTTAGATTGTAATCCACAAACATGGATTATAATCCATAGCATTTGGTAAATTTAGTGGATTATAATCCATTCCTAATAGTGAAGTGTTTGGCAAATGGGTGGATTATAATCCACTATTGTTGTGAAAATGACCAAAAAGGACATGACTTATAATCCACCAAATAGCACATGGCTTGGAATTTTGTCAAATGATAAGGGATATACATGCCTTTTACTTGGTCAAACCTTCTTTAATCCACCAAAAAATAAGCTAGGGTACCCTAGCTTATTTTTTGATGGATTTGAAGTTAAAATAAGCCACTTGTCAAACATCTCAAAGTGGCTTATAAGCCACTTTTGACAATTTGCTAAAGATGGTTGAGGAAAGAGGAAAAATAAGAATAAAGAAGCCGTGATGGTGATGCCAAGAAAGAGAAGAAGGATGCAATGGCGGAGTTGGTGGTGAAAGATTGGTTGAGGAGAAGAGGAAAAATTATTCCCGAGTTCATGAGAAATAAAAAGAGAGATGTGAGATTGAAGTGAGAGTAGTTTGGAAATTAAAAAAAGGTGGTTTCTCTCTCTGCTGAGGTGGCAGCTGCAGAGAGGCTTTTTCACATAAGAAGTTAGGTCAATGGGCCTAAGCACATGATCAAAAAGTCAAGAAGCAGGATCGCATGAGGGTTCTAATTTTGGGGCCTAGACACAACTTTCTTGATTCTTTTGGTAATTTTTAAAATTATCTAGAAATTCTCTTTATGTTGATGATGTATAAATCTGTAATCTGAAAGTGTGACTAAGAAATTTAGTTGATAATAAGATTAGATATTGGGTTCAAAAAAGATTTAAGTGTAGAACCAGTATTAAAATATAAAAAAGATCAGAACATAACATCTGTGTGTAATGAAATGAATGTAAGAGATCAAACATAAAAACAAGTATTTGATAAGCAAAATGAATTGATTATGTAAATGTTCATGTACACTTCATTTAATATACAAATTCTAATAATATTTAATTTCACTTAAATATTCTTTTGCGTCAAATTTGAATTTATGGCACCAACTTGATTTAATATCGGCTTTATATATGTTTATGTGTACATTATCATTATTATAAATGTATCTAATAGAAGTCAATATATTATTAATAAAATAAGTGCTCATTTATAGATTACTTTTTGAATAAGATATTGTGAATATCAAATTCATGGGTGTAAATAGAATTTCTTGCTATTTTTTTGGACTCTTTAGTGTTATTCAGAATATTCAAACTGATGATAATTGTCAGATTCAAGAACAGAGAATATTTTCATACATCCAACTCATAAGTCATAACAGAGTGGATTTAGGTAGAGTAAAATATTATAATTGGAATATCCATCTCAAAATATTTGTTTTTCCTTCATCTAGCCCTTATTTGCTCCAAAATCCTATAAGGGTATGGTAATTGATTTCAATAAAGAAGTTTTGAAACCAGGGAGTATTAAATCTTATTCTTGCTACTGTAGTTCATTTATAACAAGTTTATTTGTGCTTGATGACATTGACTTCGCTTCTATTGCAGCATGCGGCATTTATGGCGGAGAAATTAGGATTTGATGTGACAAATACTGTCATCACCGCCCTGAAGGATAATGGCTTCAATAACCAAACTACCCTCGGAGTAACAATTCAGTCCACCAATAGCTCCGTGCTTGTAAAATTCAAGCAGCAGACAAAGTACAATCTCATGTACAAGGTTGATGAGTCAATTCGGGATGCTGTATCTTCCTCAATTGTGGACATTAAAAAGTTTGCTGATTCTGTAGCAGTAGACAAGGAATCTATTTACCCTACAAGCATGAAATTCATTACTGGTCAAACTCAACTCGTTAGTACCTTGCAGAAAGGTGGGCTTGCAGTTTATGTGTATATTCTGCGAAATGAATTTGTATCCCAAGCATGGGACTTTTTCTCAGACCCTATTGTGGAGATCAATTCGTTTGTTGAGGAAGCTGGGGTGGATGGTGTCATTACAGATTTTCCAGGGACTGCAAGAGCTTACAAAAGTAAGTACCTCGTCATGACGGTAACACTAGTATATGTTTGAAGTTAATTTGCATTTCTTGTTTGAGAACTGAATATTATTGGTTTCACCAATCCGAACAAACTTAACACAACAGCGCCGTAGCCGGACAGAAATTCCAGCCCTGATTTGATATGTGTCTGTATGTTCATGTTATTGTATCTAGTACCTTGGTGTGAAATCTAAAATAATACGTCTCACATATGGACTTTTGATTAGCACGCATTGTAGGTATGAAATATGGCAATATGAACATACAGACAAAAGATTTCATCTGTGCGAACATATCTATATCCTGAATATAAGATTTAACATATGTGCATGTCCTTGACTCATCGTGTTTGTACCCTATATTTGTATTACTGCAATATGAGACTGAATAAAATAACATTAAGTAATGATTTGTCATTTTCACTCGGTTAAAGTAAGGTAACAAATCGAATCTGATCTGGGGGGTCAACTTCCTGTAAAGAATAAAAAAATAATAAGGAGAATTTTTTTAAAAAGATTATTTTTATAAAACTATTAGCAAAATCAACCCTTTTATGAATTAATTAGCAAAATCAACCTCTTTTTAGTCACATCATCACAGTTGGCCAAAAAGAAGACAGTTTTGCAAAATATAATACTTAAAATATATGAGATTGGTAGTCCCGTGTATTTAGCAATCACTAATCACAAGTTAATATTTTCATGTATATTAAAAGAATAAGATTAATTCTTAATTAATGACCTCTAAACACGCGGGACTACTAGTCCCATCCCATGTATTTTAAAGATTATATTTTGCAAAATCTACCTCCTTCTGGCTAGCTGTGATGACATGACCAAAAGAAGGTTGATTTTGCTTATTTTTTTAAAAACCTTTCTTTTTAAAAAATTTCTCCAAAAAAAATTGTCAAGCCTAAGCATTTCCTGTTTCTTTATTTTAGTATTGCAGGAAATTGTTCACTTTGTTAAACCTAGTGTGTAAGTTCTGTAAGAGAAACTTCAACCCAAATCCTTGCATATAAGAGAATAAATATGCCGAGTTTCACGTTCTACATCATTACGTGGTTTGGTTTATGGTATGTCAAGGTACGAGTCTTCCCTTCCCTCTCACAAGAAGTAGGGTGGAGGAAAGGATCCTGTACAATCATCTTGCATTTAATAGGGTTGTATATGTATATTGCCTGTTCAGAAAGTCGTCCTCAACCATGACATAACAATTCCATTCCTAAATTGTTATTGGTTCTTCTTTATCGAATACACCATTTGATGAATTGTCTCAACCTGTAACTTTATTATAATTGTGCTTAAGCCATGTTATCTCATTCAATATTTCCCTCCCGTCCAGGATATATGATAAACCAAATGTAGCCTGGTAATAGGAATTAGAATTAGACTAGATGCACAGACAGCGGCACGTGGATTTTTTTCGTAAATGCACAGGAATGAAGTTCAAAACAAAATACAAGCAAAAAGGAATAAAAGTAAACACTTTGGTAACCGAGCAAACTATAAGGAACATATTCAATCAGCAGAACAGACTACTAAGATAAACTCTTTTGAATCTGTGCAGGTAATTCGTGTACAAAATTGGGTGATGATGCTCCAGGGTATATGCAGCCTGTTCAAGTTGGAGGTCTATTGCAACTGCTTGCGAAAAAAGCGCAGCCCCCAGCCGAAGCCCCATTCCCCATTCTGAATCCATCTGATGTAGTTGAACCACCTCTTCCGCCTGCCATCAACTCATCAACCCCCACATCACCAGGTGGAGGTGGAAATGCATCAGCCCCACCTACCCCACCTTCTAAAGCGTCGATATGCACCATTTCATCAGCGTTTTCTACTACCCTTTTGGCACTTTTCGGGTTTCTTCTGTTCTTCTGAGGATCGAGCTACGACAACATACTAATGTTCATTGTCGATTCTTTGTGTATATCTTGGTTTCACATTTATGATGATTGATCATCCTTTTACTGTCTGCTTTGGAGAGCATGAGCTCTTGCTTTCTGTAGTAATTGGTTTTTTGTTGTGTACTGCTGTGCCTTGTGATTAATGTTACCTCCCATTGTTCAGCACATTGGCTGAAGCTAACGATGTGAATGTAAACAGTTGAGATACAGTAATCACTCTGGAATCTGTCTGAGTCACTAGAGCCAGCGAATATGGTTTCAGTACTTTCCGGAAGTAAGTTATGTACTTGAGAGACTTTCAC